CAGCTCTAAACAATTATTATATATATATATATATATATATATATATATACAGCAGAACCTCTACTTCCCATGGATAAAGATACGAATTTTCAAACACAGGAAGTGAAATTTGATCAATTTCCAACATATGACGTCGAAGTCATGGCTAAAATAGAATAAAATAAAATATAAATAACTAAATAAAAACCTAAATAAATAACATACAAAGTAGGTCCTGGAAAAAATTAAATTCGTATGTAGAGGTTCTGCTGTATACATTTCTGGCTGCTTCTTTTCCTTTTGTTCAGTAAACAAATTTGAGTGTTAAAATGTTTCAGGACAAACAGTCTAACTTCAGAGGTCTGATCCGGTTCAGCTTCCTCTTAAGCCGGAACAAAATTAATTTTCTTTCTTCTTACAGATTCTTTCTGAATATTCAAATGGAATAGAAACGTCCTGAGTGTGTTTGAGAGGCTTTCCTTTAGCTTCTGCCCCGTGTCTTCCACCCTCAGCTCCGGATAAACGGTACGGGAACCAGAAACCAGGACCAGGAACCAGGACCAGACTCCAGCCCATGCACCGGTCTGTGGAAAAGCGTCCACTCACCGATCCAGAGGAGGAACAGCCTCATCCTGTTCTCCATCTCAGGTCAGCTCCATACGCCAGAACCAGCCGCCGCTCCGGGACAGAGACGGTCTGCTCCCCTCCGCTGCTCGCTGCTTCTGGCTCTGTTTGTCCCACCCTCTTTCTGCCATCTGAGGGGAGGGAACCGAAGCTTTGAATTATATATTTATATACACATTTTTTTCTCTGCTCTGAGCCCCTCAGAATGGCTGCCCTGTTCCCACCTGAGCCCTAGCGGAACCAATCAGAACCGGGCCGGGGCGGGACAAAGGACCGGGCCCTTTACACCCGATTAATAAAGCTAATGCCAACATCATTTTACAACAGACACATTCCACTTTTGAGCTTCAAAGCCACTTAAAAACGACTATGTCAAGTATAATAAACCGAGATAAAGGGCTAGACGACTGGACAGCGACAGTTTACAGCCACCAACAACCGCTACTAACTCCCAACCGTTACTAACTCCCAACCGTTACTAACCTGGCGGTTTCGGCGGCTCTGGACTGCTGCCAACAGAAAAGTCGGCTTCATCTTCGGGACAAAAAACAAAATGTATCCAGGTTTTGTAACTTGGCTTTCCCCCCTTTTCTTACCGCTTTTATGCCCATTAGCTCCGCTCATGTTAGCTAGCTCCGTAACTACGCTCTACTCCGTTAACAAGCCGTTGCCTAGCGACCAGTGGAGCCGTTGGTGGACGGTTGGTGAGGAGTTTTACCCAGAATGCACTTGGAGAAAAGTGCTTGTAAATTTGCTCGTACTAAAGTTAAACTTTTTTATTAAACATTTATATTTTTTTCAATATGTCAACCTGCTTTTTCACTAAAGTACAGAAGATCTTTGTTTATACTGAAAAAATAGACACCTTATCTTGCAATTATTAGACAATATCTCCTATTGCAAGATCAGGATGTCGTAATTATTTGAAAAGATTCCCTAATTATGAAATCTTTTTGCCTAATTACGACAAGCGAGCATAACAACAAAAACTCAATCATGTCACCTTTTCTGTTGCACAGGCCTACATAAACCTCATAAATAACGTGGCGATTCAGGGTAGGGCCTTTATGTAGAAAAGAGGAAGCTTATTCCAGCTTTAATCATCCCCGCCACACCCTGAATCACCAACATCTGAGGAAAGAACAGATTTATCACGAGCTTTATGAGAACCATCTCCTCCTACACATTTCTGTGAGCTGCTTTTAAAGGACCAACCAGGATAAAACTGACCAAACATCTCCACTTTGGTCTCTATGTCCCAGAATGAACACTTTCTGCGTTTTCCCCTCCAGAATCGGCTCTGATTTCCACTAAATAAGCTCTATTACAATTATTATTAATAATCTATTACAGCTATTATTAATAATCCCTCTAAAAATATAGGCTCACTTTCCACTAAAATAGTGTAAAGTTGTTAGATTTTCCATGAAAAACTGAAATAAACTACATAAATTAAATTGGATATCAGATAAATTATTAAAAGAAATCAAAATCATTTAGAATATGCCCATTTTAAACTTTGAATTTCTGCTTTTTCCCTCCAGAATCAGCTCTGATTTCCACTAAATGATCTCTGTTCCAGCAGATGTTACAGAGAAGGTGGAAATATGTGTTCAGGGGCTAGAGACGGTTTCAATGAGCAGGAAGGACTCAAAAATGTCTGTGTGGTTTCACAGATAAGGTGAAAAAGGAAGCTGAGCGTGGGCCTCTGGTGGTGGACGCCATCTGCAGGACAGATGCCGTTTGTTCTATTTGCAAATATTTCCATCTGCTTTGTTATTTACATCACTTGGAGTTTCCTTTTTTTTTAACGTTTCACTTTCCTTTTAAAACTCTTTCCATGCGGGTGGAACGAGCTTAGGAATCAGATTCTCAGTCCTTCCAGAAACCCTTGAAAACCAGGTCTTCCACAGTATCTCTGGTCCTAAAGCTCTAAAGAGTCTCTAACTTCCTGTTAGCATGTAGCATCAATGGATGCTAGCTGTTGAATCTGTGTTGGAGCTGGATGCTAAACCAACAATGCTAAACCCTCTTCTAGCATGTAGCATCAGACTAAGCTAACCGTGGAGCTGAATGTTAAAGACTTAATGCTAAAGCCCCTTCTAGCATGTAGCATTAGGCTAAGCTAACTGTGGAGCTGGATGTTAGAGACTTAATGCTAAAGCCCCTTCTAGCATGTAGCATCAGGCTAAGCTAACCATGGTGTTGGATGTTAAAGACTTAATGCTAAAGCCCCTTCTAGCATGTAGCATCAGGCTAAGCTAACCGTGGAGCTGGATGTTAAAGCCTGTTTTTGGAGGTTTCTTTAGATAAACGCACCTAAATGCTTAGGTGTAAATGTAAATGAAACTGGGACCTTCTTCTGAGTCAGACTGGTTGGGATTGTTGGTGATCAGGATGTTTTCTGCCCTAACTTTGTGTGTTGTTTTGGCCTTTTCTGTGCAGGTTTCTCTGTTGTGTTTTTGCTCTTTGCTTTGCTCAGGTTGTGTTTGTGGTGTATTTTGTTGCATCTTCTCACTCTGACTGGTCTCAGGCTGCTGAACACCCACAGACCTCTTCCTGTAATGTGGTCACCAGGCCGCCTGTTCTCAGGTTCCATGTGGGCCACCTCCTTATAAATTACATATATATATATAGATATATCTAAAGGAAACGCTGCCAATCTCGGGCACGAGGAAATATGCTCGGTCACGAGATGGGCAGCCCCTGTCACGTAAACGCCGAGGAAGTTCGACTTCTGCCTTTCAGGTTGTAGTTTCTCCACCGGATACTTTTCTGATTTTGCATTGAAGCGTTTTTTCTGTTTTCCAATTAAATTTGATATTTCTGCAGCAGTTTTTGGATCAATTGTGTCATTAAAGGAAGTTAAAGGAGCTCCAGAGACTTAAAAAAGGCACTTTTTATTTGTAAAGAAATTGATTTTTCAGCATTTTTATTTTACATTTTTTTTGTAGTTTTCAGAGTTTTTATTTTTTATGGTAGTTTTTAGGTGTTATTTACATTTCTTTATTGTGCATGTACAGAAACACAGAAGAGTCCAGACAGAATGGAGCTACAGACCCGGTTGAGTCTCTGGTTCTAACCCAAACATTTTTATGTCTCCATTTAAAGCCCCTTAGAGCCTGAAGCAGCTTTTTTTTTAGTCTGGAATCAGTGGAACTTTTCCGGGTGAACAGCCAGAGAGCGTTTGCTGTAATGTGTGAAATGATCCAGGTTTGAGTGGAAGCAAAAGGCTGAGAATCTGCTGTTGCTCCACAGCTAATGTTTGATTTTTGACTGAAATCCTGAAGGCACTTGAAGCAGCTGCTGGTCCAGATGTGAATATCTGGGTGTGAGCTTATTAAGCAGAATTTACAGAATATCAGTCATCAGAATCATATTAGGAAGATATAACACAATAGCAAAAGCAGAATTTACAGAATATAAAATATACAACAATAACTTAGCTTCCCTCTGGCTTCACTCTTCCCCTGAAATGATTTTCCAGGACCTTTCCAGGACGTTTCCAGGTCCTTTGCGGCTGCTCGGATTCCACATGGCTTTTAACATTTTAACCTTAGGTTGAGGTAGAGCACCTTTTTACTTTTTCTATTTATTTATTTTTACATTAAAATCACATATACATGCTTTTTATGTACAGCACTTTGGCAACCTTGGTTATTTTAAATGTGCTATATAAATAAAGTTTGACCTGACTGAAATGATTTTCCAGGACGTTTCCAGGACTTTTCCAGGACTTTTCCGGCTGTTGGGATAAAACATGGAGACTACCTGGATAAATGACCTCTGCTGCTGTCGCTTTAAAAGCTTCTGTCTCTGAGTTCAGAGTCCTTGAACTTCTGGACGTCTATAAGGTTCAGATCAGAACAAACCGGGTCCTCTGGGCTGCGTTTGGGGGGGACTGGGTCCAGTGGCCCCCCAGAGGGATCTGGTCTGGGTCCAGTGGTCTGGTGGGGTTCAGCAGGTGGGGAGGATGCGGTGGGCCTGCAGCTGGTCATAGACGGTTGGGGTTAGGGTTGGGGTTAGGGTTAGGGTTAGGGTTGGGGTTAGGGTTAGGGTTGGGGTTAGGGTTAGGGTTGGGGTTGGGGTTAGGGTTGGGGTGGGAGGATGCGGTGGGCCTGCAGCTGGTCGTAGACGGTGCTCAGACCAGAGACGTCCTCAGGGCCAGAGGAGACGTTTCCCGCCTGCAGGAGGAGAGACGCCAGAGCGTCAGCAGTTAGGGTTAGGGTTAGGGTTAGGGTTAGGGTTGGGGTTAGGGTTGGGGTTAGGGCCGCTAAAACTGTTTCTGCTTCTGTCCTGAACATCTGCAGGAGCACAGCTCATTCAGGGGAAACCAGAGCTGGTTCTGGAGGAGAAAAGCAGCAGAACTCTATCTTAAAGTTGAGATATTCTGATTTATTTTTAATTCTTTCAGAAACTTATCTGATTCCCAAATTAATGTTTGGGATTCTTTCAGCTTCTGGTGTAAAAACTGAGGTCTTTCCATCATTTTAGTGTAAAATCAGCTCCTGTTTTCAGAGGATTCTTCATCAAACTGAGCAGTGAGACACTTTCAGCCTCATTCTGTGTAAACTGAGTCTGTTTTTGCTCTAAAATAGCTAGCTGGTGGTGGTGTTAGAGCTAACAGAGCTAACAGCTAACAGAGCTAGCTGTTGGTGGTGTTAGAGCTAACAGAGCTAGCAGAGCTAACAGAGCTAGCTGGTGGTGGTGTCTCCTGGCTACATGTCTCCAGCAGAGGGGCTCAGAAGGGAAAACACCCACCTGAGTCCTGTTGGATATGTGAATTGCCGTATATTGGACTTCGTCCTCCCTCCTGACTGAGTCTGAAAAAGAGACAAAGTCTGAGGTGAGTTTCTGCCTCATGAGACAGAACAACAACAACAACAACATGCTGGCAAAAAGCCCCAGAACACAAACTACGCTGGTCTGAAACAGAAACAACAGGATGTCTGTCAACAAAGTAAATAATCAATTATTCCTTTCTGGGAATGAACAGAACAAACACCTGCCTTGTGTTTGTCTGACTGTGGTCTTTTCGTTGGACAGTCTTTTCTTAAAGCAGACGGAGAGCAGAACTACAGCTATCAGGAACCCAGCAGAGCTCAAAGCTGCAATGATCCAATAACCTGAAACAGAACCGGACACAGCCAGGAATCA